AATATCTGAATAAAGCTAAGTTTAAAGGGGGAAAATAGAGGGTTCTCTCTCACTCTTTCAATTTTGGCATTTGTTTGCCACAATTTTTTTGGGTTTTTTGTTTGGTTAGGTTTTTTAATGGTAAAAAACATTAGAAAGACAAGTGGAAGCTAAACTTCGTACCTGTCCAGCAATTGTGTTAGACACCACACGGGCATTCCAGGTATTGTAGGCATAAAGCAGGGACTTGAGACAAATATTAACTCAAATAAAAAGCTTCATTGTCTTTGCTATTGAGCTGCTCAATGGGAAAACAGGAACAGGAGACTTCAATCTTGATGTTACAGTGCAACCTACCGACTTGCAGGTGCAATTTGGCGTGCAGCTCTCGTAGAGAAAATACATCTCCGTGCCAGCGCGCCGCGGAGACGCCGCTCTCTCACCCGGCTGCAGAAGCTGCGCTACACGCTCCCGTGCCCGCTCCCGTGCCCGTTCCCATTCCCGTTCCCGTTCCCGTTGCCGTTGCCGTTGCCGTTCCCGCTCCCGTGCCCGTTCCCATTCCCGTTCCCGTTCCCATTCCCGTGCCCGTTCCCGCTCCCGTGCCCGTTCCCATTCCCGTGCCCGTTCCCATTCCCGTGCCCGTTCCCATTCTCGTGCCCGTTCCCATTCCCGTGCCCGTTCCCGTTCCCGTGCCCGTTCCCTCTCCCGTGCCCGTTCCCGCTCCCGTGCCCGTTCCCATTCTCGTGCCCGTTTCCATTCCCGTGCCCGTTCCCATTCTCGTGCCCGTTCCCATTCCCGTGCCCGTTCCCGCTCCCGTGCCCGTTCCCATTCCCGTGCCCGTTCCCATTCCCGTGCCCGTGCCCGTTCCCGTGCCCGTTCCCATTCTCGTGCCCGTTCCCATTCCCGTGCCCGTTCCCGCTCCCGTGCCCGTTCCCGTCCCCGTTCCCGCTCCCGGCCGGTGTCCGCCAGAGGGGGCCCGGTCCCCGCCGTTCTCCGGCTGCCGAGCCGAAAGCCATTTGGCAGCAGAGCAGCAGCAGAGCAGCAGCAGCTTTCCTTTAATTTCTGTTTTTTGACCGCGGATGTTTCCCTTGGTAAAGCGAACTCGGTTATAAAATCCTATGTGCCTACTTAGCCTATGAGGTTTTCAATTCTATTTGAAGTGCAGGAGAGATTAAATGGGGTTTGGATTGTGTGTCTTCTTGCCAAACTTAGTTTTGCACAGTAAATTTTACATTCTCTGTACTACATAGTTATAGCTACTCTGCTCTGGGCAGCTTCCACCTGGAGTGCTTCATCCGGTCTGGAGTCCTCAGCACAGAAAAGACAAGGACCTGTTGGAGCATATCCAGAAGAGGACCACAAAGATGATTAGGAAGCTGGATCACCTTTCCTATGAGGACATGCTGAGGGAGTCAGGTCGAGTTGAGTCAAGAGATGAGAGGGCTCTGGGGAGACCTTATTGCAGCCTTTCATACGTATAGGGGGCTTATATGAGATGGGAATAAGAATTTTAGTAGGGCCTGTTGTGACAGGACAAGGGACAATGGTTTTGAACTAAAGTAGGGTTGATTTAGACTAGCTATAAGGAAAAAGTTTTTATGTGTGGGTGGTGAGACACTGCAACAGGTTGCCCAGGGAGGTGGTGGATGCCCCATCTCTGGAAACATTCAAGGTCAGGTGGGATGGGGCTCTGAGCAACTTGGTCTAGTTGAAGATGATTGCTTATTGCAGGGTTTTGGACTAGGTGACCTTTTTGTGTCCCTTTCAACCCAAACTATTCTATTATTCAATAACCAGGGTTGTAGTCATGCAAGCAAGTGTCATCTCAACCACAGTTATTTGTTTATGTAAGGGAAATGTATTTTAAATTAAAAACAAAAATAGACCTATGAGTAGTACATTTTTGTGTGCTTCTGTAATGCTTTATTCCAGGCTGTTTTTCTCCTGCAGCAATAATTGACAAATCTCTATTCTGGTTCTTACAGCCTACAAAAGCATAGCACTCAAAGGCTCTGATTCGCCTCCCAGGCAGGAACCAGGACAGTCTCAAATCAGGTAAAAAATGAATACATGGACACAAACACTCTTACTTCTTCCACACACACAGGCCTATGGAAGTGCTTCTCTCTTTAGAAACATCTGGTTTTGTATGCAATTAAGGTAATACCTGTTTGTGTCATGAGTTATGTACATCTCTGGGAATGTATATATTCCTCACTGCTAGATTCCTCTGTGTTTTATGGTTAAATACTTACATTTTAGATTTAAATAGTGTGTTAAGTGACTGCTGAACTTTAATATTAGAACTTCTGAAAATCCTCCTATTGTACTATTTGAGTCCTAAACTTTTGACTATACTGTCCCTTGTGTCTACTAGCTGATTACTCTTCCTTCATATAGTTCAGAATATGAGTGTATTTATACATGGGCAATGTTCTACTTAAAACCATATTTCTAGTGCAAGACCAGTATTCCTGTATGTGGTATATTGCTTTTGCTCTTTTACCAAGTATGAGTAAACATCTAAAACATTGCACATCTGTAGAGCTCCACATCAGATTGAGGGGAGGCAATCTAAAGTAATACTCAAGTACAAAGCTTTTCAGCACTGTCTGTTTAAAACAGGGACCCGTTCAACTTTGTTATATAATGAGAGTTGTCATGGGGTTGTTACTTTTGCACCTCCATCAAAGTCCTCAGATTCAAGGAGAAGAATTAGCATTTTTGCAGTCTGAAGCTGAGCTTAAAAATAGAAGTAGATTTTAATTTTCTGACATACTGATGAAATGGTTACATTCTCCAAAATTATGCCAATCTAAATTGTGAGCCAAATTAAATGAAGGAATGCTTTTTATAGCCGGAAGATTTGAGCTTTTAAGAAATACAAATATTTGTTGCCTGCTGTGCTTGCACTTTCCCACCATGATGCAAGAAAGCTCTAAACCCTGACATCCACAACTTATCAATTATCATTCTTCTGTGGGTGAAAATTAACCAGTGCCTAAAAAGCAAAACATTACAGATCTTAAACCCATCCCCCCTGCTGCTACAAAGTCATCATAATTAAAAATTGTTTTGGTTGCACCAGGAAAGCAAATTGGCAATTTCTATGTGCTCTTCTTCGCGAAGACATAATTTCAGCAAAATCTTTTATTATTCATTATGGGTTTTCATCTCCCAGTTTGGCATTAGTATTTAATTCTGAATACATCAAGTCAAGGCAAAGTGTTAGGTGTTTACAATGGTAATTTCTTTCTCCACTCCAGCTATCTCTTTAGAGGAGGAGGATTTCTCTCTACAGACAAGGTACTTCACACCTAAAATGCTCACCAAAGAGAACATTCAATGGTCTTTGCATTAGGTCTTCAGTCCTCAACACATTTTTAAAAACTATTTTGGAGACACCTTATGGGCAACTTCAATACCTGACTCAGGCCGCGGCAGGTGCTTCATTCCATTCCCTCTCCCTCACTGCTTGTTTCTGCCACTCTTAACTTTAGTTTCTTTAGTTAAATTTGTTCCCTGACCTGGTTCATCTCACAGAGGAATAGTGCAAATCTTTAAGGTGAGGTACTCTATTTCATGTTGTTCTAAGACACCACTTGTTCTGTATCAAGTGGTGATTTCCAGGCTAAGCTGTGGTGTTAGTATGAACTGTGTAAGTGGTCTTGGCTTCAACATGTAAATAATGTGTCTGAAGATTTTTCTGTATGCATGCTGGAATGCACATCTAGGTTGGGTAATAGCATTTGCCAGAATACAGGTTAAAGTTGCTACACAGTCATGTTCTGAATTTTTTTATGGGCACTATAAACTATAAAGTTTCTACCACTAGAAGTTCTTCAAAATCTGCTAACATAGTTTCAGCTCTGCTGTTGTGTTTGGCTGTGCAACACCAACAATAAGAATACTATAACAAAAATCATATCGTCTCAGACAGAAGCATCTAGTGGGCAGGAGCATTTCTGTCCTTGATTCGCCATGAAGTTACACCACTGTAGATGTAAGACTAAGAGGTCAAACTTCATGCTTATTAAAGGTATCAGTGTACATATTTTTTTTCTGAAATTGGTGGCACCTTCACTTTTACCTGTGGCTAGCTGGACTCTTTACTCTCATTCTGTTTTTCAAACCCCGTCTGTATTATACTTACCTAGCAAATGTATAACTCATCACAAATCCAGGCAACTCCCACACTAAATCACTGTGGAATTCAACCAGCACAAAGTTCCCAGTGGAAGTAAAGTCTGCAACTTTCTCTGTCCCACAATAAGGGCCAACTGCAGGTGACATAGGGTGGCTTCCATCATGTATGAGTAAGTAGTCAAAGATGCATCTGTCACTATATTCCAGCTCAAAGGACAACATTTTGAGAGATATCTGGAGAAAATACAACCAAAGCATTTTGTTTCCAGGTTGCAGCCTTTTATCTTACCAATTTTTTAACAACAACACTACTCTAAACTCAACACAACAATACTCTAAACTCATTGTGTGCAGGCACCATTTTTTTATTCTGTGTGTGCACCACATCCTGATTCCATATGGCAATGCAAATTAGTAGCAAATTATTTGCTTAATTCATCAGTATTTGGTTTGGAAGGAGAGGCAAGGGACAAGATTGATCTTCTATGCTTCACATTTTTTCCTCTAGGGAAATATAAAAACAGCACCTGGGTGATGTTTCAGTTTTCTAGTGGGAGCTCTTACCTAGGGATTATTTTGAACAAAGCCTTGAGATACAGGACAGGCTAGATTCATGAGTTCACTTGAACGTGTAGAAGTTTTCCCTTGCTGAGCACCTCAAATACCAAGTCCAGCATAAATTCTTAAAATTTATTTTTACTGTGAGAATATCTGTTGAAAACATGACATAACAGCTCTTATTCTTCAAGGGAAACAGATGTTTCATCAGAGAACAGTGATGAAACCCACTAATGAATTCATCTGTGCCTTACCTTGTATCCTGCTGGAGAAGTGATGACCCAGAAACATGCTCGGTTTTTGGGGTATTTTTTGGGGTAGTTTGGAGAGGTGATGACTCCCTTTGAATCTCTGAAAGTGGCTCCACAGTTCACTGAGGAGTAAAGGAGAAAACCAGATATATTAACAAGAGTGTTTTGTCAGTAGAAATGAGCTTGCTTACACCCTATTGTACTATTTCTTGAAACCAAAAAAAAAAATGTGCTACCATGCAAATCTACTGCTGAAGTACTTTATTTCTTCACTTAGTATTTGTATCAGCAGCTGTAGTGAAGGAACTAGAAACATCTGATAAATAGTCTTTGGAGGACAGGGAACATCTGCATCTAAAGCTGTATCTGACTTTCCAATCAACTGTTACCATATTAGCATAGCATTCTGTTGGCACTGACTGCCCTTCAGAAAAAAAAGCTCAAGTATTCAAGATTGCATTATCAATCTAGTTTTAGTGCTTTCTAGAAATGATTCCATTGAATAAAGCAAAAAGAGTAAAAAAAGAGTAAAAATAACACTTTTCTAAGACTTCTTCAATTTATGCTCTAAAGAAGCTTGGATTTTCAGTTGAAATAAGGCAACTTTGGGCTACTGCCTTCTTGCTGAATGCATAACACAGAACAACAGAATTTGGTCTGGCAGTCCAGAATGCATTTGTGTTTGCAAAAAAGACACCCCTCACATGATTACAGGAAGCACAGTGTTCTGTGTAAATAACAGAAGCTTTTAATTCAGAAGATGTAAGGTACCAAAGGTCAGTACCTCTGCTTCTGCATAAAATCCCACAAAACCTTGAATAATGTCTTGCCCAGATACTAGCCTTGCATCTCATTGGTTGAGGTATCCTGTTGATTCTGCAGTCTTTGTGTTCTTTGGTTGTACTGCTCCTATTTATTTCAGTCATTGCATTGTTTTTATTTAAAGACATTGTTCTGGAGATATGAAGAAGCCTTACAGAGGCTCTCAGAAGAATGTGAGTGAGACCTTGGGATAATAATATGAGACCCATGTGACATCCCATTTTCTGTCTCCTGTGAACCTTTAGACACATCATTTCCTGGCCTTCTACATTTCCAATTGCTGTGAAAGTGTGAAGAATGACAGCGAAAAGACCTACTCTGTAGTGTTTAGTAAAAGTTTTCAGTTCTTCTGTACAAATACTACCAATGCTCTTCTCCAAGCTTTGTAAAGGAGTGTTCATACCCCTGTTGTAGGAGGCTCTGAATCCTGTGGCTGTAATGCTCTCATCACTTGCAAACTCTACCAGCATTGTGGATCCAGATGCAACTAAGGAGGGCAGTGGACCCTTCCCACAGTACTTGTCCAGCAAGACTGGGGAGTTCTTGCTGTTCCCATTGTAAATTTTTATATAATCAGAAGAACAGTCTGAGGAGCGTTGGAGATCAAAAGCCTCAAACTGCAGGAAAATCTGGAGAAACAAAAATGCACAAGTTGGGTTTGATGTTATACACAAGGAAAGTCTCGAACCTTCATATTCATTTTACTATCCATGTATTATGGAAACCTTACTTTCTATATAAAAAAGAGGACAGAATTTAATCTAGCTGTCCTATTACTGAGATCCCAGAGACTGATGTCTCATTACTGCTTGTCTTTGAAAAGCCATTCTATCTGAACTGGATAAAAATCAAGCTAAATAATCCCTCTAATAGTCTTAGTTCTTACGAAAATTGTTGAGACTTTCATTTACTGCATAACAAAATAAATGTCATGATCCATGAGCTGACTCCCAGGGGTTACTCATGGTAATGAAATAATACTGTGCAGCCTGGATTCTGTGCTTGAAACCTTTTTCTTCCTAATAAAAATTACCTTGCTTCGACGGATGCGGATCAGCCACAGACAGTGGCTATTGTTCGGGTATGGGGATGGGTAATTGATAGAGGAGAACGAGCCTTTGGGTTTAGGCAGCACAGAGCTACAGCAATCTGAAGGGAAGAACCAAACAACATTGAAGAGAATGAAAACTGCACAAAAATATTCCCATAATGCTTGACAAGTCTCTCCAACCATTTGCAGCAGTCAAGCTTGTATAAATTAATTATAATTCTTACAACTGTATTGCTGTTCCTGGTGTAAAAATTATTGAAAACCTGGAAGTGATATAAAGGTAGTCAAAGTACTTGCCTGTTTCAGCTACTAATGGTTTTTTAAAAGACAATAGGGCTTCGTTCACATATATTCGTTTACTAAAAAAAGGCCTGGATCTTTCATGAACTCCCTTAACTTCAACCACAGAAGTACTTTCAATGACAGCAGTACATAAATTTCTATTAGCAACTGTGTGTATTCATAAGTGTGTGGAAAAATCAAGTTTGAAAACAAGATTTGTCAAAGTAAAGAGAGGTAATCACTGAGGGAAAAACATAACAGAGAGCACTGAAGTCAACCTACAGATCCAGTGACTGGTATACAAAGTCTGATCTCATCTCTCTTATTTTTCCACATCTTCATTTTTCGCATTTTATGTAACTCCCCAAATTACAAAATATGAATATATGACATCTGTTCATAGTAATTTTTGACATTTTTTCTCTTAATTCCTACTTTTCCTGAGACAACCAGAATTTTTATGGTTTTTTTTTTAGTTCCTAAGTTTTTTTCTCTTTTTAAAATTTAATGCTTTTCTTCCAAAACATACAGATCTAATTATGAAATTGCATAGTAATGGTATTGAAGTATGATTCATCCCAGCCCTACTGTTGAGAATAAATATCACTAAATACTTGTTATCACTATCTTTGAGACCCATAAATTGTAAAGTTGTCTCATCTGCAGTTGTGAATTTGGAAGACCCACTCTCAGCAATGATTTCTGTACCTAATAATCCAACTGAAGGAATGCTGATTCCTTCTAAATTCTAATTATTTAACTAAGTTCTAACGTAAGAGTAGAATTTAGTGCACTAATATTTAGGTCTTGTTAATGCTTCTTGCTGTTTTGGTGGAAACTAATTGAATAACATCTCAGAAAAGTCAAATACCATATAAATCAATTAGCCTTTGTCCTGGGAGTTAAAGCAAAACCTGTGCAGTGCAGGAGCATGATGTTATACCTGTTTTGTGCATCTTGGCTGAAGAGTTCCTGTTTACAGAGGAATGTTAGGTATTTCTAGACTTCAAGATACCACAGGGATGAGTTGAGAAACAGATGTGGCAAGAAAGTAGGTATCTATACAAAATGCCTATGGTTTTCTCCTGCAAGGGGTTCTGATCAGGCTGAATGGCACCCATGCTTACAGCCCTTCAGACATTTTGTAATTAAGAGAAATCACAAATCTGGCACTACTGATGCATGTGACTCTAAGCTCACAGCTGAGGAGAGCTTACATGCTTTGCTACCTTCAGAGCTTTCCTGAAATGAGAATTTGACAGAGGTAGCAACCATAAGTTCTCTGGTGGATTTACTTATCTCAAAGAGCAGGGATTAGGTAAGGATAACTCAAAATGAGAGTGAATTATTGAAAGTAAATTGTCCTTTCCAAGAAGGCAGCAGTTTGGCACAGGGACAGTTCTGTTTCTTGTTGTAGGGTGAAAGAGATGTAGTGAAGGGACTGTGGGCTGCATTCCTTTGGGGGATTCTGTCAGTGCCTACAGACATCAGCTGTATTCATATGCCTTCTATGTACAGCACTTACTGCACTTGTAGAGCTTGTTGATTTTAGCTACATCCAAGTTACTCAGCCCTTCTCTCTGCCCAATAGGTATAGAGGGGTCAGGAACTGGTACAATAGTTGGTTTTCCAGGTGTGCTGGAGAAATCATACCTGTAGAAATAAGGAAATCACATTTCTAAATTGCTTTTCATAGACAGGGAAGTTCTCTAATTGCATTATAATTTCTCATGTACCATGTAAACAGAATTTTAATGGAAATGGACAAGAAGCTTCTCAGAGACCTAGCAGCCTTCCCTGAAGAGGACCAGCATGACAGATGTTTGGTGTTCAGCAGGTGAAAGCAAGCAAGCAGAAAAAGCTGCTCTGTCCTGAGTGAAAAGGCCACTAATGTCCAGCAAATCCCACCTTCTTGGTTCCTGAGGCAGAGGAGCAGAAATTGTTCTGTTTCAGTTACTAATTGCCTATTTGCTATCTGCAATTTCCTGCCTTCTGCTAGTCTAGTTTTATTTAATGTTTTTTTTTCAGAAATTGTTACTTGCTTGTGGAAATAAAGGAGAAGGTACATGATACAAGCTTGTACATTATGGACTAAAATGCAGCCTTAGACAGTGTTCCCAGATTAACAGAAGGCAGCCTACAACATCTCAACAATATAAAAAAAAATCCATCTTTCTTGCCTCTACACTTGAATGTTGCTGTCTGTGATCAGCTGTTACTACATTTACGAAATAATTTAAACTTCAGAACTGGTTTAGATCAGTGGTTCAGCAGAATTAGACTTTGGGCCACAGCCCTGTCAAAAGGCCTTTAGCAAGAGGCAAGAGTATATTGGAAGAAAGATTGTCCTATGTTTTGCTGCTCTCCATATCAGCCCTTGTTTTCCAGGAATCCTTCTGACAAAGAAAGTGTGCTCACCCTTAATTATGTCCATGCACTCAAATGACCAGCAAAAGTCACTCCCTGCACAGAGCAACTTTTTCCTAGATCTTCTTCCTAGCAGAAGATCTGAAAGCTGTTTGCTCATTTGAAAGGATATTTCCGCAAACAACTTACGCGCCATAGTGCATCACTGAAGAGTAGTCATAGGGAAGGCCCAGGTTTTTGGAATTAACTTTTCCAAAGTTCCCTTGTTCCCCTGTAAGGTGGGAGAGCAGCATTACAATTATTCAGAACAATTATTACTTCTCTAATAGTACACTGCCTGCTGTCATAATCCAGAAAGTAACATAGGATATTAATACGTGTTCTAATGAGATCTCGGATCTATCAAAACCACCAGAGATTTTTGAAATCCATGTGAACCCATTTTTACAGTCTAGTAGGTTTCAGAATATAAAGTTAATCAAGTAAGTTTTGCTATAATCAATTAATACATTCTACTCTTCAAACAAAAATATTCCTCTCTCAATCTTCATTAGTGTGTCTCCAAATACATTTCAGTGCCATTATCTTGAATACTATAAGCATCCAACCTATGTCCCCAAAGCTGTATCTGTACCTTGAGAGGGAAATCTGTCTGACCACCTAGATGAAAAATTAGGAGCTATGCATGGGTGATGTCATGCTGAGCCCTAATGCCACAAAAGAAAGGAACATATTTTCCCTGCTACTTGTCCCAGAGCCCATGCTAGCAGACATGTTCAGGCTTTGTCTCTGATCAAACCCATCAGCAATGACTAGAGTGAAGTGATATGATTCACATGAAGCAGAAAAAAAAATTCTGTCAGAACAGCTGCTGAGCATCTCATCACTTTTCATCAGCCTTAAAAAGCCAATATGAGATAAGGTGTTACACTGATACAGGGCTGGGGCCCAGGGACAGAGACTGGATTTCATATCACCTAGCTTTATTTCTTCAAGTTAGGCACTGAAGCTATTCCTCAAGGCTTCTAGGATAGTCAGAGGAGAGGGAAAGAAAGAGAGACACAGTTGGAGGGAGTTTCATGTGAAGAAGGCACTTATTTTTCTCACTGACTGGAGATCATGAGTATGAATTACGTGCTAGGTCTCTTCTCCATGGTGAGACAGGCAAATGAGCACTGTCAGAGCAGGGAGCTGAATGCAGCCAGCCTGGCATTAAGACTAAAGCCCTAGCCACTGAGCACTCCTTTCCAGTTCTGTACCTTCATTATTATAACTACAAATGTGGTTTGTAAACCACAGACCATCTGGACAAGAGTTCAGAGTTGGACATTCTTGAGATCTACACAACTCAGCTGGTAGGCTTCCAACCAGAGCAAATCTCAGCCTGTAATGTCCTTCAGCAGTGGTCCTGGGCTGAGGGCTAAGAGATGCAAAAGGAAGATTTGAAATCCCAACTAATAGAAAATTTGGAAATAAACATGAATTTAGAGCTTTTCTTAGCTGTAAAACTCAGTTAAGGCTTAAACTGTTTCTCAACAGCATTGGCCTTCCTGACTGTGTTTTAATTTCAGTCCTTATCTGTATACCAACTTCAGAAAGAGTTATCATAAGGTGTGCAGCTTTTTTTGAGGTGATGAACAGAGAACACAGTTCAAACATGGTGAAACACTGAAGCATATGGCTACTGTTTGGCACAGAAGTGCTTTGCTGAATTAGTTTGCTAGATAAAGAAAAAGTGACAGCATCCTAGCTGGACTGAGGTGCTGCCAGCAAACTACTACCTACCTCATCACATGCCAAAGAGATCTGGCTGTCTAGACCTGCACATGTTTGGAGCTTACCCCATCTTTTCCACTCTCAAAAAAAGGAAAAAAAATATCTACCCCTGCCAGAATGTAAGTGCAGTGACTCAGAAGAGCTGAAAAGCAAACTATGGCTGAAGAGTCTGAATATATTTTTTTTCCCAAAAATGTAGGAAAAACAAGCTGAGTTTCAAGTAGCTAAGTGGACAGCAACCAATCGGGCTGCATTTTGTCAAAACAAAGAACTAGGATGTCTTCCAAGGTAAATTGCTGGATAAAAACAAACCCCAGAAAACATTCACAATGTGGAAGTCCTAGCAGGAGAAAAACAGCTTGTGTGAGAGAGCTGAGATGCTGGAAAAGGCCTTAAGGTGTAGTTCTGCACCACCAACGTCAGCAGGAGCTCTGCCATCAGCAGTGTTAACAGCAGCAAGTTGTAACATTACAGTCCTCATGGACGTAACTCTTTCTCCATTTCCTTTTCCCTGCATATCTTTATATTTTCTCCCTACAGTGCTTGAGCTGCACACTCTGCATTCCAACTCCCTTGCCACACCAATCATCTCATTCTCCACCCATGGCAAACACTCAAAACACTGATGATACACCTCATCTCCTTTGGCACACCCTTGTCTTCTTTACCTCTTCCCCCTCATTTATGATTTCATGATACTGTGCCTGAATCAGAGCTTAGTTACATCTGTATCCTTTAGGAATTATGACATCTGAACCTGTGGAGTTCTCTTTGCAAAACTACTGTAAGTCTATGTGTGTTTAGTGTATATAACTTAATGTTTTCAACTTCTCTTTCCTAGCACATCCTTTGCTGACATTTCATGGCACACCCTTGTCGTACAATGGCAAACAACTCACAGCAAAATTACACCTTATCACTGGAGCTGAAACCTCAATAAAGAACAACACAAATGGAATTTACTTAGGATATCATGGGAATAGCTGAAGAAAGTTTGGAGAGCAGCGTGTTAGGAATTTGCAATGAAAACAATCAAGTTCCATCTGGAGAAAGAGATGGATATATTTTTAGCTGTGCATGATATTGCGTAGTTGAGTATCTTATTTGTTGAAGAGATTTAATAGAATTTTGTATTCAGTTGTCTGGCCTCATTTACTATTATTTTCGATAATGAACTAAATAGATTATTGTATTTTTATAATTGTTATGGATTACTCAGCTCTCTAAATAGCTGTCAGACAAGTGACAACCTGCATACTTTCTTCTGGTATTTTCCTTCTATGTACCACTTTCTCCCTTTCCCTTGGATCTCTTGCCATTCTCTCTACCCTTTCCTCCCCAGAGCCTGGAGCTCTTTTATATGGTGAGCCCATGTTCCCAGCACACAGATCATGGCCACGTGCCCAAACAATTCATTCTGCACTCCTTTCCATAAAGAGTATCCACTTGCTTTTCCTCTACAGAATTACCACTCCTGATTGCTTCCTATAGCTCCTAATTTTCATGTGTATATGATCCTGTCCATGAGGAGGATATAATTGCAGTCTTTCCTCTCACATCAAGCCAGGTCCCAGAATTTTGGAAATGCTAATGGCTGCATGTGTTTCCACACTTAGTCCCTTGTTCATATATATTTTTGGATATGTGCCAAGATGCCTACTGGCTGCCTTCCTCTATTTCCATGGCTTTCCTGGGATAGAACTGTTGTGTGATACCCCAACATGATCTTGAATGTCACACATCAACCTCCCTCAGTTAAGGGTCCCATAGTCTCGCCTCCTGGCCAAGTCTTTGCAATGAGATTTTGTAATCCTCATGATCCTGATATCTTGGGGTCTGGGCTCAAGATGGCAATCAAAATAAGAGTATAGAGCTACTTTTAGGCTGCATCTTTCACAGTGCCATAGGTGAAACCACAGAAATTCTCTTAGTACAAACATTGAACAAGAAATTCCATCACACTGAATGTGCTGCTGCTGCTGCTGCAATTCAGCCAACATTAATCATGGTTCTTATTTGCATTGTTGTTCACAGGAGAAAGGTTCTCCTGTAACTGTAAGTATATATTTTCTAAGATTTAGTGGACATACCTGCCACTATGTGTTCCCACATAATCTTGACAAACCTGTCCCGATCACTCCGTGCCTGTTCATGGATAAAACCCAGTGCATGGTTCATTTCATGCTGAATTGCTCCTTTATCCATGCAACCATTTTTCACCAGGCCTACTGCTTGACGTCCTCCAATCTTTCCAAAGTAAGACCAGCAGCTAAGAACAAGCAATCAATAACCAAAAGGATCACATTTAGCAAATACAAATATATAGATGTATTGATTAAGTCACCAAGGTTCTCTAGATATGCAGCCACAGCAGGGGACATGAAAATAGACACTGGCATGAGATATCTACACTTCTGAAAGCTGCCAAATGACGTGGTGGGAAGGAAATTAAATCTTTGTGATGAGGATGGCAAATTTTAAATCAGTAAATTTGCTATATCAAACTAAGGCAAAGCAGTATCAAGTGTTAAGCGAAACCTGAAACAGTTATACTTATTTAAATTTTTACAGCAATTAAGGAAAATTTCTTATTTTGAATTACACCCCATTATCTTTAAATCCACACATATTTATTCCTGCAGCCTATTAGCTGATGTAATTACCACTATATTTAAAGAAAAATGAAAAATTGCACCTTCTCTCTAAATCTTTACTGCTAACATGGAAAAAAAAAAACAACCCAAAGCAATTGCTTTATCCAAAACAAAAAAAATTGAAAATACCTTTTGAGTGCTGCTACTCTCAGGAGACAAGGAGCTTACCTCTGCCCTCGTTCAACATAAACATAGTCTGTTTCTGTAGTGCGATTTACAAATTGCACACAGGTCAGCGTAGAGATCTCTTGCAAAGCATCAGCAATCCAAGACCTCTCTGCTATTGCTAGAAAGAGAAGGGAGAAGGAGAAATCTTTTGTGGTTAATCAAAAATCAAGGTGCATTGATGGGGTGCATTCCTTAAAAACTTCACAGCACTCATTAGCTCTTTATCATACAAGTATAATAAAAAAAGGGTACCAAACATTCAGAGGTCTTCAAACTGGTTGGACTTTTATGGGGAAGTATAGCAATTACAGCTATTCCATATGCATATTATTTAGGAGACAGCTGATGGAAAGCAAAAGATTGGCATTGTTCCTTCCACTAGGCAGAACAGACTAAATGAGGCAGTTTCAGATACAAATAGTTGGATTAAAGTATCCCAAATGAGCCAGCTGATTGTAGCTAAGCACCAAAACCCTATTTTGTTTATCAGAAAGGGCAAATGCCTACCACAGCCCCCTTGAAAGCACTTGAGACAGCCAAGGCTCTGAAGATCACAGTGTTTCTATTCAGGTACCAAATAAATATCAGAGTGTTTATCTACATTTTGGCCTAATTTGACTTCCTCAGTTATGAATCATCTGCCACTGATGTGTATCTCCATTTCCTAATATTTAAACTTTGGAGAGAGGCAGATAGAGGGAATAACCCTCACCTATCCACAAAAGTATATACTGCAGTTCTGGAGGCACATGGGCAGAGAAGCAGCCCAAGAGATTGAGCTTTCCTCCCTTCCTTTCCCTGAGCAACAGGAATCAGGCTCAGGTTGTATTTTACTTCCATGTCATTTACTCTCAAGGAAAGGTCTTTGAAGAAGCATCTGTATGGAATTCACTTCTGCAGCTTTTTGCATAGGACAGAGCTATTGACTGACTAGAGGGAATCAACAAAGGAAAAATATCTCCAATAGCTCCATTTTTGTCTCTACAGGGGTTCTAGTGTGGGAATATTTCTATGAGAGATTTAAAAGAAAATCACACCATTAAAAAACAAGTTACTTGTGGTAATTTAGACAAAAATTCATTCATAATGGGAACGAATTGTGCCTCTTCTAATGTCAATATCAAAGAACATTGATAAATATCAAACTACATTGTAGCTAACAGGAGCAAGCTAATATTTGAAATTACAATTAATTACCTGACTATTGGCCCAAGTAACCACGTATTTTAGTGTGATCTGTTTGGAGTCTTAGCCAAACTTCCATGGGGCTAACATGATAGAGAAAGAGATATATCAATAAATTCTCACTTGTCCAAAGTTTGCTTTTGGTGCATGCCATAGAAACATAAAGTAACAGGGAGTTAGGGACTGGAAAATCAAGGCTAACTTTAGAGCATCCATTTGCATGCACTCACAGAAATCAGAAGAGATGTTAACTGGAACCTTGACCAGTCCATCTTGTGACTTGGGCCACAAACAACTCTCACAGTTAATTGCACTGCGTCGCCCTCTTCTCAAGAGGATGTCTCCTTCATACACAGTTTTTTCACTACCTGGCAGGTGCAGAAAGTAAAGAACATACAAGGCACTGAAAAGGCAAATACATGTACAGAAAGGGAGATGAGGTACACTAACCAAGATTTTGCAGCTTTCAAAATTTCTTTCACTGAAGTTCATTTCCTAATAATGTGAAGAAAGATTAGTATGCTGAGACTGGTTAGGTATGCCTTGCTTCCTGGATAGAAAAGTTTAGTATAAATATAAATGCCATAGTGCAGCTGTAATCAAAGATGTGACTAAATAAACTTTAGTTTAAGAAGCTTTGGGAGCGTTCAGAGGGGACTGCTGTTATAAGTCATTGTTTTCTTCATTAGAGCTTGTGAAGTTAAAGAAAAATCATAACTGACCTCTGTAAAAATAGGATTAATAATACAAAATAAATTAATATTTTTATCATGCATATTGAATGTATGCAAGCTATTAATGACCAAATTAACTGTGAATTTGTCATAAGACATTGAACTTGCTTCTCCGTTCTGACTCTAAAATACTGGGAATACATTTCTCACAGACAAAAGCTATCTGTTATTAGGCAAAAAAATTACAGAAGTCTTGGGTATAGCAGACAGAAAAGTACCATACATCACATAAGATAGAAAACAAAGTGAAAAATACCCTGATTTGCTAGGGCTACATATGGAAAAAACCATTTTTATGTAGCAATTGTTCAATAATTCTTCATAATTTTTTTATCACAGCAGCATAAAAAATCACAATGAATGCGACTTTAAAACACATTTGAATTCTGTGAATTTCCTTCCACTGATGGTGAGAAAAAAAAAAAAACCCAAAACATTTTCAAAGAGAAAAATATACCAAATCATGGTATTGAAGTATACAGATACAGCTCCACCAAAACCTGTAGTTATTTATATAACAATTACAATCAAACTCACCTAAGTCATTCTTTCTTGTAGCTATCTGGAAAAAAAATAATACATATATTTTAGTACATGCTCATCTCCATAACAGAAAACTTCTATCACGTAGATTCGCAGCAGTAAGAGTTTCTAATTAATTTTAAGATAGAGCAACTCAGCAGCAGCAATGTAAATTCTCAACATCTCAGAGCAGGGACACACCTGGACGGGTTTACTGAGTGCAAAGCTACAGAGAAATGCTAAATGAGTTGGCAGAAGAAAGTACTTCATCTTCAAATTTCCAAGGTGAACTTCTCTGCTCTGCAGCTCAGTTCTCAAAATTGTGGTTAGTTTACTTGGGGCAAGTTTTATGGGAAAGCTGCTGCTGTTGTTAACAAGCATAACAAAATTAGATAACAAGCAGTATTTTCACAAAACAAACAAGCTGCAGGACCTCTCAAGAGAATTTCCAGGCTCTCATTTCTTATTTATCTTTAGAAAACAGAGGAAGTGGAGCAATAGGAAAGAAAATTCAGTAACCTTTAAGTGACTCATCTTTAATTCTAAGAAGAAGCCATGAGCTGCTGCAGGTCCCCTCACTGCTGACCAAGGGACAGGATATCCGGCTGCAGTCTGTTTACAGCCAAACTCCATCTCAAGGAACTCCTTGATCCATCCACATTGACTATCTGCAATAGTAACTCCTCAGCTTGCTGCCAGGAGACACCCTGCTCTGCAGAGCCCATCTACCTGCCTGTCCCCTCTGTGCACAGCTCCCAGCCAAGCATTCCTGCCCAGGAGCACTCAAAATCTGTTGGAGTCGGAGATGAATCTGATCGTTGACAGAAATTGTTTTTTCAACATGGTATCTTGCAATATAATCATTGCTGACAGAAATTTTGTGTCTTTCTGCAAGTCTGCAAGTCCATAAAACCACCAGGTCACAGAGTTTTGGCTTCCCTGCCTCTGGGAAGCCCTTCTTTCTTTGAAGTCCATGAATAGAAACAAGACTAGAAAAGCAGGCTGAATCCTAGAAAACTCACACTGAATAAGAGTAAGGCAAAGAATTAGAATATTCATGCTAAAGCCACACGAACATCACTATAGGAAGGTAGATCCTGTTTTCTTTTCCCAGCTTCAGTCCCTGCACAAATACTGAGGAGCTGTAGAAAATGGTAAAGATTTCCTGTATCAGATCTTTAAGAAACAAGCAAGAAAACTTTTGACAATTTCTACAAAGACAGGAACCTATGTGGTTCACAGCAAATCAAGATGGCAAGTGCCTTTCCAGAGAGATATGTGGGCTGGTCCTTTGTTTTTAAGGAGTACTTTGCTAGGAAAATTTTGGCTGATATTATGTAAAGCTTTGCTACAAGTATTTTAATTTTACCCTACTAATAGTTTGCTCCTCAACTTTCTAAAACAGTCCACATTTCTGTGACTTCCACAATTTATCTGCATTTATCATTTCCATGTTGAAATATAATGAGGTGCAGATAAAAAGGGCCCTTTTTTCTTTGGCTGATCAGAGAATGAAGTTCAAAAGTCCTCATTAGTTTGTTGTATCATTGACCAGAGGCTCTGCAGTACAGTTCCAAGCAATCTCTGTGTGTATTCAAGATCAGGCTCAAAAGAGAGACAGAAGGAGTCACAGGAGCTTATTTCTGCTGGTACACATCACAAAATGAGACAAAAGAGGAGAGAGCAGAAGTTATTAGGCAATAAAAGCAAGGGAACAAGACCAGATCACTGTGGAGAGCCTGCAGCTGGGTCACTCCAGGTGTGCAGCAGGCAGGGATGGGAGGGCTCTTTGAAGTTCTGCCATACAGTTTTGCATATTCATTCCATGGGAAAAAAAAACCAAACAAAACCAACCAAACTCAAATCAAGAGATTTATCCCATGGTTTAATTAGTTTTCCTGACTGCCAGAAACAACTGAGTATTTTTCAAGGCTAATTTATAGACCAAAGTCTTGTATCACCTGATAACACATTATCAGGAGTTGTCTCATAGATGCAGATTTCCTTTTTGATGCTGCTTGTCTACATTACCTGCTTTGATATTCTACCAGAATACTCTTCAGGTCTTGGTTTCATTATCTATCCAAATAATTTGACTACATAACTCTAACTTGCTTTACTTCTCCCATATGCCTTTTCTTATATTGCATTTGAGAGTTCTAATTCTTAGCCACACTGTCCTTGCTCTGCCACATATTTTATCACTACTATCTGTTAGAAATTTTAATATTATGTTTATCACATTTTTGGGGATGCTTACTTAGTTTCACCTTTATTCCACGATAGAGAATGGTTTTGCAGTTTACAGTCAATACAGATATTGCAAGGTGCTTTAACCATGCAATCCAAATTGTTCTTGGAAAAGCATTAAATGACAAAGTTAGAAAAAACAAACACTTGAAGGTGTTTAAGTAGAAGGTTTTTCCCTAGTTCTGTATCAGTAACAGGTATCATCACAAGCATTAAGTATAGTATGTCCCATGTTTTTTCCATAATGAGAAAGTACAGAGGCATTTTCCCTGGCTATAGTATCAGAGTGAATTAACCTATGAAGGGTTCCCTTCCTGGGAAGGGAAACAAAATTCAGGAGGGTGAATGGCCATGTGATTGTCTAAGCATCCAGTGGAATATCACATTAAAGCTCAGTTCCTCAGCTATTCACTCAAAGGTTATGCAG